CTGCAGGCATCTTCATCACACCTTAAGGTAGACATACTAAACTGATTGGCTGGGTAAATAACTGGATTAGGCCTTGTCTGGAAATGTTTAATAAGATAAGAAAGAAGACAAGCGTGCCTGGACAGACCAGAAACACTCAAGAGAGAGGACCAGGAAGAGGGAATTCCCAATATTGGGAATTGCCAATATTCTAAAATATTGGCAAACCAATATTTCAGAACAAAAATTTGGATGAGACATGAAATTCACATATTATTGGGATAATATAGTAAAAGCTCATTATTTATTTTTAATAACAGCACAGGCCTTATTCACAGACATTCTTCCATATTGAAGACTCGCTGGATTTTACATGTGCTCAGCCATCATTCCTTCTCTGAGAAGGGGCTCTCATCCTCCATAAAACTCTTTCACTAGGGGCCAGATATGGAGATGGCTTTGTCCTCACTTTTCAAGTCCCCTTAGTGGTCGAGGCTCAGACAAGTACAAGCTTCTCAGAGTTAAAACACTAAGGTCACTGTGACCACAGTTTCTTGGCCAGAGAATCTGGAACTCAGCCAAGCCTTCCACGTGCTCTCAGCACTTCTCTTCTTGGTCAGTAACGCTTACCGACCATGTAGAAGGTCACCACTCGCAGGGCAGGTGATTTGGGACACTTACTCAACTTCTCTTAACTTTGCAGTCTTCACCTGTCAAGTTAGGGATACTAAAATCTGTATCATGAACCTAATCCTGCATATTAAACAGGAGAAAAAATATTCACCACTCGGTACATGCTCTGACCCCAAAGTGCAGATTCACAAAGCAGGTGTGAGATGCTCAAACTGGGATCCTGTTCAGCTGATTCTCTTCCAGGCTCCCTTGGCATGTTGATCTTGAGGCTGTGGATTCTGGGTCTTAAGGGAATTCCAAGTCTCTCCTGGGAACCTTGCATGTCTATCTTGAGTAAGTAGAAGCTAATGTACATCTTGAGCTGGTGCTCTCTGGCCCTCATATCTAGCCCCAGAATGTCTTGTATTAATTAATACAATTAATTAATATTAATAATTTCTTTCCCAAAGTTTTTGCTGAGGTCAGATTTCATGATTCTATTTTTTTTTTCAGCACCTGCTCTTAATTTGTTCAAAATTTCCCAGGTTTCTTTCAGGGCATGTTTTACTTGATCTCTCAGATGCTTCTCTCAGACAACATCCTTTATCCCCAAACACTTGGAGTCCACACTGATTCTGATATTTTTCATATGTTCCACCCACGAACAACTACATTAACGTAAGAGAGCTTCTAAATTTAGGTGGGTGGGGAGTTAGAATGTGTATCATATTTTCATTCATACATTCGCTCTTCATTCATAAACTGCTTACTGAACATCACCTAGTACATGGCACTTTTCAATCTCAAGGAATATATATTTCTATACATAACAATTCCAGTTCTCAAGAAACTTAATCCTGGTGAAGATAAACACAAAACCTTCAGAATGGCATGTTGCAAGTTTCAAAACAAAACAGTGGTTCTCAGAAGTTACCACATATTGGAATAATCTGGGTACATGAAATAGAGACACCCAGCCTCAACCCGTAGCAAAGGAATCAAAATCTCCGTGAACAGGGCCCATGCATTGGCGGTTTTGACAGCCTTCCAGCTGTAGCCATGTTTGATAATTCTTTGGAGAGAAGGAATCAGAATGCTTGGGGATCACAAAGATGAGGCACCCAACCTGATTAATAAGGTAGCCAAGGCTGCTAAGGGAAGATGACACCTGAACTATCTTGGAATTTCAAAGAAGGACTTGCCCAGGTGAAATTTTGGGAAAGTAATTCCAAGCACAAATCAACAAGAAGAGTTCATGGAACTGCAAGAATTTTTGGGTAGAGTTACAGTGCTAAACCTGTGGTTTTTACTTGGCCAGCAAAGGGGGGTCATTCAAGGCTTGCTAGGAAGGAAATAATACTATCCATCTAATGTGCATCTGAGATACCGAGACATCAACTGTAGAGTGTATTTTACTTTCTTCCAGCCAACTCAGCAAAAACTCTCTCCCCTTTAATGAAACCTTCAAAGCTGTTGGCACCTTCCTTGGTTTCAGACATTACAAACAGGAAACTCTACCCATAAGCAAACCTTTGCCCTGTCCTTCCGTGAAACAAAGACCAGCTGTTCTCCCACTTGGTTGTGCCTGGGGGAAGGAGGGGTTCTCAGGTCTTCTCAGCCAACTACAAAACAGTGACTCAGCATCACAGATTCACCACTGGTGCATGCAGATGGTTGCAGCATCGTATTCATGGAGACGTTTTAATTTTAAAAAGTACTGTGTGGCTGACACAAAACTGTCGTCCTTGGCAAGGGAAAGCTGGGTATCATAGTTGCTACAGATAAAATATAACATTTTAGGGCCTCACCTCTAAAGGGAATTAAACAGTAACAGCAATTTAGATGGTCTTCCTCTCATTTTCAGCAAGCAAGTCCACAAATACACCAAGCCAGCCTCTGGAGTAGCTTTAGTTAATGCTTGTGGTGGTGGTTGCACTGTTTATGTTTGTTTTTTTTGTTTTGTTTTGTTTTGTTTTTTTCGCTTTCATTCTAAAATATACAACCAACTTTATCACATCTTTACAGAGGAAAAAGAGGAAGGAAGAGAAGGAAAAGGAGGAGGAGGGGAAGGAAAAAGGAAATGATGAAATTTAATGTATGTTTTTGTGAAACAATATGATTTCTAAAATATTAAAATATATATGTAGGAGTGAGGATGGGAAAAGTGTGCTTTGTAAGAAAATTCCCAGAAGGAAAATTAAAGACATATAAAGGTACCAGGAATTTTATAATCAATAGAAAATATAATCCATATGTAGTATAATCCATATATAAAACCCAAAGCTATATATTTAGTCAGAGAAATCTGAGGCCTGGGCATAGTAAGATACTGTAGGATCTCAAGGAAATGACTTTGTAGAGAAGCCAGAACTAGAAATCTCATCTCCCAAGTGTGACTTGTTTTTCATCTCACTAGAACATTCCAACTAATATCTGAGAAGATAAAAGCATCTCAACAAAGTATGTTTTAACAGTTACAATAACAAAGCAAAAGAACATGATGTCCCGGTGCGCAACACAATGTTTTGTTAATTTATTCAATGGTTGTTATCTGGAGTAGGTGACACACATTAAATTGCACTTTGGTGTGTCAAAATGACTGGTCTTACTTGTTTCTTGGTTCCCAAGGCTAATTATTATTTTTAACACCTTTTGATATGCTAAATGAGGCTAATAAGAATAGGATTTCTCATATATAGATCTTTCAAAGAGTCAACAAATTATTATACTTAAGCCTCATAAAAACACCATAAAACACGTTTTACCTTAGGGTCCTTCCTAGGAAATACATGCTTAATTGGCAGAATAGTGATAAAAGGGGTAGTGTCAGAATGTAGAGTTTCATATCCTCTGTCACATGTTTGTTGTGAAACCTTGAGTGAGTTGCTTAATCTTCCTGAGCCTCAGTTGTCTTCTCTGTAATATGGAGCAATAGGATTAAGGGGCTCATCAACCATTTTTAGAGCTAAGTGGGATGAGCCACATAAGGTGCTTAGCAAGTCATCTTCTATATTCTAAGTATCCAACATTGTTAGCTACAATAATTACCTATTCATAAAATGTGTGTTGATTGCCTCTAACTAAACATAATGAATGATTATTAGGGACCAAATGTTTCCCTAAGCACTTCACAAGTGCTAACATTTAAATTTTATAATTACTTTTTGAAGAACTATCATTACGTTATCTGTTTTACTGATGAGAAAATTGAGACACAGATACATAAATTTACTTTTCCAGTGTCTTGTAGTTGGGCAGTCACAGAGTCCAGCTTCAGACCCAGATGTCTGGTTCTACGTTCTCGTTTCTGCTTTGTTGTTTCCCTGGGATGGGCTGTGTGCTTAGACAAGGGGGTACCAGCAAGGAGAACCGTGCATCATACCCTAGAAGCTCACTGCAAACCAACTCAGTGGGTTGATGAGAGAGTTGTGAAGTCTTCCTGCCAGCCTGAGGAAACACCAGTCAGAATGGACTAAATGTCCACCACACCCCACTAGGACTGAGTCAAAAGCCCAAGAGGCAGAATGGGAAACACTCAGGTCACAGACATCTGCTCCAGAAAATACCTTCCAGAACCAGTCCAAAACAATGACCTGCTGTACCTTTAAGACTATTTCCTCTTAGCAACTGACAACAGAACTGCTAACTATAACCAGAAAACTAGCTTTACATAACATCCTCCCCATCCACCAGTCAGAGCTTGCCAGATCTTGTCAGCACCCAACATACCAATCGATTTTTCCATGTAAATTTCTCTGTCCCAATAAAACTCCCAACCTTCCCTTTGCTCTCCGGACACACCCGCCACCACCTTCGCTGATGTATGTGCGTCACGGACTGCAATCCTGTTTTTTTGTCTATTTCCAAATAAACATTCTTTTATTAGACATTCATCTCTCTATTTCTGTTGGCCTCTGACACCGCCTGCTGTTAGACCTGCTCTCTGGGGACCAAGCACATATTTGCATGAAGAATGACAGTCTCATGAATTCTCAGGACATTCGCCTCCCTGTACTGAAAGCTGGCACCCAGATTCCAGGTCCTGCATCATCTTTATACGCAGGTCTGTCTTTGTCAGATAACCTTTCTAGTGTCCTAAATTTTTTTGCTGTGGATTGTCAGGCAGAGACATTCTTGGCACCCAGTGAAAACTTGGTCAGAATACCACACACTGCATGATTCAGCACACAGTTTTTGAACGCATCCAACTTAGCAGCTACAGGGCTAGAAATGAAGTCATCCTGCTTCTGTGCTACAGCGCATCCTTCCCAAGGGTGGGGTCCATGTCTCTCCCATGCCCAGTTTCTCATAGGTACATTATGATTTCTGTTTTGCAAAACAGGACGTTGCTTAACCAAGTCGTTATGGGAGGAAGTACAGGCCAGTGAGTAGAACAATGATTTGAAAGTCATGAGTTCTGTTTTGACCTCCACTGTTGATTAGCTGTGCATTCAGCCCTACAAAGGTCAAAAGCAGAGTGGCCTTGGCTTGACAACTTTTTCTGTGTGCCCTGCTCTAGATGGAAAACAAATCAGGCGTCTGGCTCTCAGCCTTCGGGAGCTACAGTCTTTGGAAATAGATGTATAGTCGTGCTTTGTTTTCATTTTAAAAGCAGAAGAACAGAACAAACTCTCTGAGATGAGGGCGGGAGTAGGCTGGGAGAGAATGAAGAGAGGAACCTGATAACCTTTTAAACAATCCAGGGACGAAAGGATTGCTTGAATCACTCAGATCAAAGAAGGCTTTCTGGCACAAGTTGGAGTCTGCTGCTTTTGAAATGGAAGAGGCAAAGGGAGCTTTGACAGATTTCTCTAAATGTAGACAACCGCAGGTGTCCGGAGCTCTGCCCACAGGGACCAGGCTGGAATCCCAGGTGGGTGAGACCCGTGGGTAAAGTGGAATGCCCAGGCCTCCTCCGAAGGGGCTGGGGACTGCCAGCACCGGCTGCTTGTCATACAGAGAAGTAAGCTACTGTTGAGAGAATTGCTGAGTTATCAAGAGAAATTGAATATTTTGATTTTTGTCATTGAGACTTCTGAATTTTTTTCCCCAGAATGGTGACTGAGCCCATAGCCTTCACACTGAGCTACATCTAAAGTACCCCTATTCTGCCTCTTTTTTTCTTTTGTCTCTTTGGAGACAGAATCTTGCAAAACTGCCCAGGCTGAGCTTGAACTTGCAAACTTGCCCTCCTCCTACCTCAACCTCCCAAAATTCTGGGATTTACGGGTGTGCACTACTATGTCTGGCAGAACTCCCAAATTTTTTAAATGGTGGATCCTCATTCTTACGTGTGTATATTTGTTTACCTGAGTAACCAATATGAAGATAACAGTATGTAATACAACAACCATTGTTAATTCCTTATCACCTTCTCTGAAATTCTGTGTCATTTTTATGTTGTTTCATTTATGTCTGTGTGTTTATTAATATGTTTTGGTTCTTTTTTTTTTTCCAATACCGGGAATCGAACTCATGACCTTGCGCTTGCCAGGCAGGCACTGTGCTGCTGAGCTAAACCCCAGCCCTGTTTTGGTTCTTTTATCTTTAAAAATAAAATTTAAAAAATCATAAATGGTGGATCTAACTTTTAAAGTAGGCAAAAATAAGTATATAGCCTAAACATTACACTTTTCATCTTCCCATGTAGATGGGATGAGATTCCATAAAGGGTTTAATCACTGCTCTGCTATGAAAGAGTAGAAGTTACATTCCAGACCAAAGGTACTGATACTGACACTCAGCACTGACTGAACCTGTGTGTTTGGAAAATATTCAGACTTTGGACTAAACACAGAGATTCTGATCTAATAGAGAGGGTTTTGGCATGAGCGTTAGGAATTTTAAATGCTCCTCCAGTTATTCTAACAGGCAGCCATGACTGAGAAACTCAGTATTAGAATATTGTGAGAAAATTTAAGAATCCAGGAAGCTGTGAGTTTTAATGTGATAAAATATGCAACCAATTCCTCAATGTACATGAGTGAATTGACACTCAATATGAACTGCTATTTTTTTCCTTTTTTCTTTTTTAATGGGACCCTTGACACTCTGGCCTTGTTGCTGGTGGCCTTAATGCCCTTGGGATCATTAAGAGCCAGCTGACAAGAGACACTGGACAAAACGGGTGTAGTAGTAAGCAAACATAACAAAAGGACCAGTGCAAGCCCAAGCACAAATAAGTATCTATGGGAGAAATTCATTTGTTGTCTGGTAGCCATGAACTGGGCAACAGAACGAAGTAAGTCTTTTGCAAGTGTAATTCAATCTCTGTCCGCATTCTAATGGCTGTGAAACCCACCATATGAAGCTAATAAATGATGCATAAAAGTAATACTTTCAGTTTTTTTCCTTCCATATTTTGTAAGCCCTATGCATTATAAGTAACATGATTAAGACCCCATGGTTATATCCATGGCTAGTTCTTATTTCGTCTTTAGTTCCTTTTGCTATTTGTTATATTTCTCATAAAAGCTGCGAGTGCAGATTGAGTATATTAAATCACATACAAAGGGATGTCCAATGGGGCATTTCCTTCTGTCTGGGTGATCAGAAGAGGCCCCATGCAGATGTGCCAAGGAAGCCCTCCATCTAAAATGAAGTGGCAATGCCAGTCATGGTTGCGCACGCCTATAATCCCAGCACTCGGGAGGCTGAAGCAGGAGAATAGTTGCGAGTTTGAGACCAGCCTGGGCTACAAAGTGAGCTCAAGGCCAGCCTGAACTGCATAGCGAGACCCTGTCTCAAAAAGACAAAAAAATTTTCTAATTTCCATAAAATGAAGTGGGAGCTCCCCTAGCAAGGAACGTGGGAAGAGGACATGAAGGTGGTCCTACCTGTAATACCACATTAACCTCCAGCCTGTTGAGAGAGACTTGAAAGCTGATGCTAGAGATTTCCTTGGAAGATGTTGCCAATTCGGTAAGTATGCTCATCCTCACCCCCTCCCTAGGTAGGTGTCTTTCTTCTTTAGCATGAGCCAAGGAAGAACACTTCAGGGATATCCCCTGCGAAGCTTCATACATGTCTCCTGGACTTTTGGCAAGAGGTTCTGATGTGTGACTCACACTTGGAAACACAGAGGTGGTGATGGAGCAGTCCTTGTCTCGTATCTGGAGCAGGGCTCTGTTGTACATAATCAGCACTTTCAAAACTTGGTGGCGCTAATAAGGACCCTCCTCGAAAAGGAAAGATTGGGTCATCTTTGAAGAAATTGCCTGGGAAGGTAGCATGACTTTACTAGGGTGTGTACTATGACAAGCTGACCCTGGAGAAATCGTAAGTCAACTAAAAAGGCATAATGGAGCCAAGGAAATAGTTTTTGAGAGATACCTTGTGATGCAGAAAAAAGAAATATCTTCAAAAACCAGTTCAACAAAATGACCCATGAGAAAAACATCCACTGGTAGGTCCACTACACTCAGGCTATCCCTAGGAAAGATTATAACAGCGCTGGTGAAGTTAGAACTTATTCTACCTTCCAAACTTCCTTTGCTCCAGCACTGCCCTCTATCTCTGGAGAAGATAGAAATCTTAGCTAGGGAAGGAGAAGATGGAGACAGGAGAAAATGAGGAGACCAGCATTGCTCTTCTTCCTTCCCCTGGATTTCCAAACTGAGTGATAACAGCTTGGATGACCCAAATCTGAAGCTTACATGGATTAAACTTTGTGTTGGGGGGGCTGGAGATTTAGCTCAGCGGCACAGCTCCTGGCTGGCAAGTGCAAGGTTGTGAGTTCGATTCCCAGTACCAGAAAAAAAACAAAATAAAACAAAAACTTTAAACTTCATGTTAGACTTCTTACTATCTTGAAAAAAAGATATTTTCTATTAGTAATCAGAAATGCCAACAGAGAACTATCCACAATTTTATTGGTAGTAGAACCTGGGGACTAGGGGAAAGTAGTCAAAATACCAGGTTTAAAGGGACAGAAGTAAAATAAAAATTTTTTCTACTTATAACCCAGTCCAGCTCATATTATAAACCATTTTGAGTAAAACAGATCAAATGTTTTGTGGTGTGAATTCAGTTTTACAAGAGTATAATGTGGTGTCATAGTCATCTTTTAAAATCTTCACCTTTAAGGTCACCTTTGCTGCTTTAAAGATATGTTAGATTATAGCAAGATATTAATACATATTCCCTAGAAACAAGTACTATGGTGAAAGTCACTGGTGAAGAACTTATTCACTCAAAAATACATTGATGTTACTACAGGTCTTCTCAGAGCCTTTAATAGGTTAATGTATGTTGTGAACCTATAGCAGTAGATAGATGATTTAACAATTTGAAACTCATTTGTCTATGGAATTTTATTATTCCCAAAACATTAGGCTTTCATTCAATTAATATTTACTGGACATCTACCATATGCAGGTATGGGGATGAGTGTTGGGGATCAACTGAATATAGTAGATGCGGTCTCCTCTATAAAAATCTTAACCTAATATATGGTTTATTCACTCCTAAGAATAAACAAATCCTTAGTTTGGAACTCTCTTTAGAGAGATCTATTCTATGCCACTCCCCAGATTTCTGACACAGCAAAACTATTCATTTACAGATGAATTACAGATGTATCTGTATTCATAATACAGATACAAATCAGCTGAGGAAGAACTTGTCTTATAAAAGGTGTGTATTTTTGTAAAATATAAAGGGGGTGGTGGTGAATCACTGCTAAGTATAACAAAAGTGATTTAGTTCTGTATGTCCTTGATCAGTTTTAGACAAGTTTTGTTAAAATGCTCAAGAAAAGTCTAAGTCATTCACCTGTTTTTACTTCTTGGGATTTCTCCCTGTATCAGACGTAAAATCACTACATTTTCCTCACCTTGTTCACCCCTAAGAGTTCTGACATCAGGCATTTCAATTTGTTTGGACTTCCTGGAGGATATTTTGACTATATGTTGTTGATGATTGCTGGACAGTTTGGTACACTGTCCTCTTTGTCACCAGTGTTACACACATGCACACACTATGGTATATGAATGTACATGTGTACATACTCTCCACAAAGCAGGACAAATCCAAGCTCTTGTTGAAGTAACAGGCCTGTATTAAGTCAGGAGTTCTTCTACCTTAAGAAATAAAATATCTGAAAGTATATTCTCATTTGAGAATTTTATATGCAATGGCGCTTCTCTATTCCCAGTAAGTAGGTCTACATTTAGCTAACTTAACTATGGCATGGAAAGTTTGATACATAATGTGAAGGAAAATATGTAGGATGCAAATAAGACATTCCTCCCTGGACCTTGGGATGATGATCTCCAGCTTTCTACATAATGTTGATTAGCAAGGACTTTGATCTTAACTGAATAGCTGTGAATACATCAGATGTCAAAGGAGATGGTCCAGTAGCCTTAGACACATAAGTAGTTATTCTTTCATAAATGCTCATAAATTTCCATTCCCAGAGAGTGTCATATATCTCAGCCTCAATGCACTGAAATACAATCACTTACCCTGCTCCATCTATGAATTGTTGCCTCCATTCTTCCAAATTCCTCACCAACTACTAGATTCTCTGTCTAGTAGATGTGGGCCCTAGAACTATCTATGATTCCATGTGGTCAAGATACAAAGGATGGATCATAACCAGTAACTCAATTCATAATTACTTGAATTATTGAAATCAACTAAGAAATGTACTTTATGAGTTGTGTGTTAGTCAGCTTGTCATCACTACAGTAAGTGTCTGAGACAGTCCATTTACAAGTAGGAAAGGTTTATTTTGGCTCTCAGTTTTGATGTTTCCGGCCCACAACCAACTGGTCCTGCTGTTTGCAGGCCTTTGAGAAGGAAGCACATCATGGTGGGGAACGTCTGCCAGAGCACAACTGTTCACCGTATTGCCAGGGATGAAACGGAAAGATGAGAAAGGAGGAAAGGCTCCACAATCCCCTTCAAGGACAAGTCCCCAGTAAGGTAAAGGTCTCACCTCTTAAAGGGTTCACCTTCTCTCTACAGTGCCATCCCGAGAACCAAACCTCCACCACGTGGCTCTTTGGGAAACTCTTACAATGACCTGTAGCAAGTTGTTTTATGGCTCTGATTTATGCAAGTTATTTCTCAAGTATGTCTTATCTCCTTCTAACGTTTTTGATCATCTATATCACTATTTGTTTCTAGGTCACCATCAGTTAAAAGCATAATAGTAGTAGGTGGTGCTTAGTCTTTCTGCTTTTATTCTACCTTCTCCTTGATTTTTTCATGTGGAATAAACAACCTTACAAATAAAAAATAAATCAAGTCATTGGTTTCCAACTGAAATGAATAGAATGATTTTGAAATAACCAGAAAACAGAAGATTCTATATTTTTTCCAAGATCTGGACCAAAGATACTACAGCACCATAATCCCTAAATGAGGGAAAATAACAACGTGACATAGTGACCAGCTATCAGAGTGATCTCAGTTTGCCTAGGCCTTAAGGGGTTTCTAGAGTAAGGGCCTTTCAGTGCTAAGACTAGAATAGCCCTTGCCAAACCAGGAGAACTTGTTCGTCTAAAAACCCTATGCTTTTTCTAGCTGATTGCTTGCAGGAATGGACTGGGAAGACCTAAATGTAGCTCTCCAGTCCTGAGTTGAGGAGATAGAGGCAGAAGTTTAGAGAGGTGAGGGGGGTAGAATTTGAAGAGTACCAGAAAACAGGAGCTGCACAAAGAAAGAGGTAGAGCTCTGTAGATAGCAGAAGGATCTCTTCAAATCACAGGCTGAGTTCTGACCTGCAGAACTGTGAGAGGCAACTACCTGTGTCTGAAGAAAGAAACACCAGAAAGGACTATTCAGAAAGCCCTTGGAGCTCACCCAGGGCTGGGATTGGATTTTCAGCCCCAAACCAAGATGAGAAATACTTCACACTTCAATAAACAGTGTGTAGAATTCTCCATGGGCACTCTCTTAATGATGGGAATAAATGAGTTCTAGTCTAACAACTGTTCTGGATCCACCCTAATAGAACTTATTTTACAGGATCTGACTGCTTCCAAGTAATTTAACTGCATCCCAAAAAATAAAGCAAAAGCAACAGAAAATCAGCATTACTTAAATATATACACCAAAATCCATAAATCCAGGAAAAAGTTTAATAAACAGAAAAAACAAATGACAAAAATATATAATAGAATTAAATATAATAATGACGATGATGATACAAAATGTTGTTTTATAACTCCTTTAAAAGATGAATGATTCTTCAAGAAAAAAACTAGTAAATTCTGGACTTTATGTCATATGTAGAAGAAAACAGGATAGCAGCATAGCATAAAAGATGGAAGGGGAAATGTATGCGTGTGTACTGATGCAATGTTCCTACATCATGTGGGAGGTAGTATATTAATTGAAGGTAAACTGTGATAAATTAACAAGTATATACTTTAAACCACAGGACAGCTGTCAGCAAAAAGTAAATAAGAGTTATAGTTAATAAGCCAATAAAAATGAAGGTTTGATAATGAAAATACTTAGCTAATTTTAAAAAATAAGAAAAGAATAATGAGACAGAGAATACCAATAACCAGAAATTAAGCAGTGACATGAAGGTTTAAAAATCAGTAATATCAGTAACTACATTTAATGTTAAAGGTACAGACACTTGAACTGAATTACAAGTATTACTAGATTGAATTAAAAGAAAACACCTAACTGCATGTTCACTGAAAGGCACCACTTAGCATATAGATTTTTTAAATTGACAGTAAATGTATAGCAAAAGGAATATCAAACAAGCGGGAATGAAAAGGAAGATGAAGTGACTATAGTAATAATATGACATTTTATAGTTCCAACACTTAGAAACCTGGCCCCCTCACTCGTAGTAAGTGATAGCAAAAGTAGAGAGAAAATCAGTGAAGATAAAGGAGATTTGAACAATACTATCTACCAACTTGACCTAATTAAAATTGATAAAACCTTCCATCCACCAACAAAACGCACGTTCTTTTCAAGTATGCTTACTTTATTCAATAAGATAGATAATATTTTGGGTCATAAAACAAGTCCCAGGCAGTAAGAGAGGGTTAATATTATATGTACTATATTCTCTGAACCTTAAAGAATTAAATAGGACTCAGCAACAGAAATATATCTGCAAAACACCTCAAATATTTGAAAAACATAGGCCAAAAAGAAAATCACAAGAAAACATTTTAATTTGAGTAGAAGCAAAAATATAAAAAAGCAAACTTTGTGGAATGACACTAAAACAATACTCAGAGCTTATGGCATTAAATAAATGTTTACCTTAGAAAAGAAAAAAGATTTCAAGTCAATGATCTTAGTTTCCTTAGGAAACTAGAAAAAGAAGAAAATATTAAATCTAAAATAAGCAAAAGAAAAAACAATAAAAATAAAAGGTACCTTTATTGAACATTTATTGTGACTCAGGCATTGTTTTGTCTGTCTTTATGCCCAGTATCTTTTTAAATCTTGCCACAACTTATGAGTTAGTCATGACTACTATCCTATATTTCAGATGAAGTAATTGAATCTCACTGAGATCCAGTTAAGTTCTCCAAGTTTGTGTAGAGATAGAGTTGTGATCTGAATTCAGATCTCTATGCTATAGTGCTCCAATAGCCTACAAATGGTATGGAACATATGTATACTATTAAACAAATTTTAAGATCTGTACATTTGATATTTCTGTATTTTACGGATATCCAATAGTGTGTACGTATGTATACAATGCAAATATACATGTCTATGTACACACACATACACTTATTCTTTGTTAATCTAGAACCAGAAGGCTCTTCTCCTAATTTGTCCGTCTTATCATCCTCTCCAAAAACTGTTCTGCCAATGAAATGATCCAGCGTGAAGGACATCTGTGGAACAGTCTATGACCAGAGCCCATGAAAAATTTCCACTTGTTCCTGCCAGTCCTTGGGTCACAGAGATGGGTGAGCAGCTGGGCGCCACTGTGTGTCAGAGGGTCTCTGTAACCCACACACGTGCTCACATCTCCTCACAAGAATAAATCTAGCCTTCTTAAAATATTAGGAAACTTGCTTTCTTTATGTGAAAAGCCAAATGTATTTCCCTTCAAGCATAAAGTAGTAAAGAGCATCAGATACCCAATTCCTACTTCTGGGACTGCTTAACAATTACATCTAGGATAGTTCGCTCCATTTTCTGTATTCTCAGTATTCCCAGTTGTAAAATAGAAGCAAAGAAGCATCTTCAGTGCTCTCTCCCTTTTATTGCTTTTGTACCCCTTCTCTCCTGCATACTTGATAATTTTGACGTTCTTATCAATATGATTCCTGTGCCACCAGCTCCTCGTACTGATAAGGGTGAAAGTTAGAGCATATTTGTTATCATCTCCAGAGCTTTCCACGGCTTCCACTTCATTAAAAGAAAAATTTAAGTCCTTACAAGTGTATCACAACAGAATTTTCCTCCATTACCTGTGCGCAACATTCTGTTACTTCTCTGACTTTATCTACTACTCTTTCCTATCTACTACTTCCTCTTTCCGTCAGTTTGCTAAAAATGCCAAGATAAAAACATCCAAGTATAGGAAGCATAAACAACAGAAAGCATTTTCCCCACAGGTCTGGAGACTACAAGTTCAAGGTCAAAGTGTCAGCAGGTACGGCTTCTATGAAGGACTGTCCTGGCTTTCAGGGTCTTTACATCGTCTTTGTCCTGCACATGCATATCCTGATGTCTCTTTCTGTGTCTAAATTTCTTCTTCTTACAAGGACATGAGGCAGATTAATTTAGGGCCCACCTGCATTTTAACTTGATCATGTATCTGGCCTGTTCATCCATTAAAAAAGAAATCTTTTTAATACCAGCTAATGTACCAGTCCCTATTAGAATCTAGGAATACATAGGAAAGCAGTAGGACTAGGCTTTACTGTATACACATTACTGTATACACAAAGTCCCATCGGTCCAGAGAAGAGACAGGCACCGGAAGGTTCCTGGGAAGAGTTTGCAATACTGCCAAACTCTGAAAAATGAACAAGCACTAGCTGTGCACACAGTGGGGAAAAGCATTTTCTGGACTGTGTTAATATCATGTGTGAGCACGCAGAAGCATAAAACAGCTTTGATATAAACAGAGTAAAGGGCATGCAGAGAATGTGAGATAACGGAGCTTGATTAATATAAGGTTAGAGAACAAAAGTGCTAAAAGACTGTATGTTGAAAGCTCTAGAGAGCCTTATGGAATTCTTAATAAGGAAATTACTTGATCAAGTCTCTACTCTAGGAAGTGTGGCCTGCCATCATGGAGAAGAGCTAGCTTATCAAAGGGGCTGAGTCAGCAAGCTGTGGTCATTCTGCTGTGAAAACATAAGGACCGGCATCAAGGCACAGGCAACCCAGAGAGAACAGAACATGAGGCTAGATGGTGCACTCAGCGATCAGAACCTGCAGGACTGGCATTGTATTTAGACGTGGCAGTTGCACAGGAAGAAAAATCTAAAGTAACTACCAGGTTTGGGCTTTGGTAGAGAATGAGACAGACGTGTTATTCACTATGAGAAGAAGGAGAAAGAAAGTCAGTTAAGATGTCCCATGGGCATCGGGGTGGCTCAGTGTGACCTGAGATAAACATTGACTCGCCTGGAGTAATCATGTGACATTATCCTCTTCATCTCCTACTGTCAGACAGAACACAGTGCTTAATGCAATGCATAATGTTTCACAGAGAACCAAATGTTTCCTTCTGACCTGAAAAACAGTAAAGGAGACCAAAGACAACATTTTTTTGTTTACTTTCATTTTACCGATGAGGAAGCTGGCAATTAAAGAGGATGAGTGGCTTGTTCAAGGTCATACTTGGTTTTTGGAAAGCAAGATGAAGTCTTCCTATTCTTAATCTTATTCTTCTTAATGTCACATGCTCTCCCCAGAAAAACATGCTTCAAAAGGACATGCAATCTGTTCCCCATGCCAGCTTTATAGTAATAGCAATTTAGTCTTCTAAATAATCAACCCAGGCTTTCCCACTTACCAGTGAAATTACAGGTGGAAACTATAGAATTTGAAACTCATCTTTCACATTTCTCCACTGATCCCATTTGGTGGTTAGTGATTAGGGAGATACATGCACATCACCTAGTTTTTCAAAACCCAGCTGCTTAAAGTAACTCACAACACAAAAGTATCTACTTACCTTAGTGACTGAAGGGTCATTAAATGATGACCAATCTTTTGTGCCCAACTTCTTAGGGCAAAATTCGCTTTTGTGTTAATAATTATCATGATCATTAATATTTTATCCATTCTATTATGAATTTTCTAAATTTTGTCTGGCTTGGAATATCTACTGAGGTCATACCTTTACATATACTAAGTAATACTGTCATACATTACCATCTGCAAAATACTAATATTTCAGAGTTGTAATTCTCTGGCAAATTTTTTATTGTGTTATAAATGGCCACACCACATAGACTTTTAAAAACTAAATATATTACATATATAATAATAATCTTCATTTGATTCTTGTGACAACTCAGGAATGCAATACACAGGGTGTCATAGCTACTTTCCTCTCATTCCTGAGACAAAATATCCAATGCCCAAAGTTAAAGGAGGGAAGGTTTATTTAGCTCATAGTCTGTAAAACTTTCAGTCCATACTCAACTGGTTTCAAGGCAGGGTGGCACATGGCAGAGGGGCAACAGTTCATGGGAGCAGAAGACAGCAAAAGCAACAAGAAAGGGCCAACACAAGATTTTTTCTGTCCCTTATATGGTATGCAGGCTGCCCACCGTAGGGCGAATGTAGCACTCACACCCTTAATCCCAGCCACAACTATGCCAAACCAACCAGTGGACTAATTTAGTAATCACACATCCTCGATCCCAGCATCACACACTCTAGATTCAGCCACTTCTGAAAAAGCCTCTTGACTGTGTGAGGCTTTGGGGGACATCTAGACACAAACCATAACACAGGGTTTACAAAGGTGTTTTTCTTTGGTGTGATAAATTAGGATATGACTCTCTCGTAAAAAGGAGAAGGAACAGTAATTAGAACCTGCAGAGCTGGCTGTGCTTTTGGAGAAAACTTGAAATGTGTCTATGTGTGTATGTGTGTGCTAAAAATTCTAATTGAAAAGATTAAAATTATCTCCTCTCTCTAAGTTCTTTACTCTAATAGAATTATTATATAATTAGTCACAAAAGTATGAGTCATGTTACACAATCCTGACCTTTCCCTTGGAGATTTTGGAGATAAATAGATGGTAAATGATATCTTGAAAAAGATGTATTGATGTTTGTCCAGAAAAAAACCAAAAAGCCTTTCATTAGTCTCTCTTTTAATAAGTGAAATTTTATGTTTTCACTTAAAAATATATAAAAGTTTAACACATTCTTCTCTCTTTACAGGGCCCAGAAGGCTCTGCACACATAACCTAGCCTCATCACCTCCTTCTGCTTTTCCCAACTGCAGTGTATCCTTTTCTAGTCACTGGAAGTCCCAAGCCCATTCATGCTTTAGGACCTTTGCAAATGCCACCTCTTACCCACCCCTGGCAACCACTGTGGCCTATTTTAGTTGGTTCTTCTCTTTTTATCCTCTATTACTCTGCTCTATTTATTTTCTTTACAGCGCTTATCAAAATGTACAATAACAAAAACATACTGCTCCGTATCTTCCTTCCCCAGTTCTGTCAGAGCTACTACTGTGTCTGTATTGGACATCATGCATGACCGGTGGATGACACTGTGTCTGATACACCACCAGTGTTCCATGTGTATTTGCCAAGTGAATCAATGACAGGAATTTCTACTCAGATTTTCAGTTGCTGCTCCATAGTTTTACAATTTAATATCCTTGTGTTATAAACTCAACTTATTTCTGTAAATAAGGGAAAATTTACCCAAAGAGACAGCTCACCATGATTGTCAGCGGTGGAAAGCTAAGCGACCCTTTGAAATTCAGAATCTGGTACTGTTCGCTCTCCAATCAGTTTCTGAGTCTAATATATATTCCCGAATCATTGGAAAGCAAATAATTGGCTGCTAATAACTTTTCAAATATGTTATCAAAATGAAAAATGAGGCATGAAATTGTCAATATGATATGCATTAACAGAAATAATTATGGATGTGTGAGTTATTAAAAAGACCTTTTTCCTCTTGGTAGAAAGAAAGGTAATACCTGGCCCACTTCCCTAAATTACAGAAATAAATCCACAAGGTAGAGCTCAAACCTGAAATATTCACTTTAACATAAATAACACGCAATTTAATACTATTTATTTTGTTTTCATTCACGACAGATAATAGCCCAAACTTTTTCATTTAAAAAATCTAGTCTCACATTTTAAAATCATTATTAGTTACTCTTTTCTGAGCCTTGAGTTTAATTCCAACTTTTTAAAAATTTCTCTAGACATGACCTTGTTTTATGATGGACATACCAAAGCATACCAAAACCATTTAAACAGAAACTGAAGTGTATCAGTACAGTGATCTCTGAACAGATCCAGTAAGGTGACCAGGAGTACAGTTCTGACTTCACACAGCTCCACAGATAGCTTAGCCTTCACTTCTCCTCCCCTGCACATTCCTGGATGGCTACCTTTACAGTTTGGATCTTAAACATCCTCAAGGTGCATACAATAAAGGTTTGGTCATCAGCCTGTGGCACTCTTAGCAAGTGGTAGAACCTTTAGGAAGTAGATCCTAGTGCAAAGAAATTAGACCATTGGGAATGTGCCCTTGAAGGGGAGATTGGGACCCTCACCCCTTATTTCTCTCTCTTTTTTGATTCCCTGCTGCCCTGAAGTGAGTAGTCTCTTCTGCCATGTACACCCTGCCACAATGTTCTGTCTCATTACAGGTCCAAAGCTGTGGGGCCAAGGACCCACGGACAAAAACCGTGAGCCAAAATTAACCCGTCAACTTTATAAATTGACTACCTCAAGTATTTTTGTCACAGTAACAAAAAGCTGACATAGCTACTTTAAATGGTTCTCTGTTAACATAGCTACAAATGGTTGTCTGGAAGTCACCAGACAAAAAATG